TTCAGGAGTTCGAGACCAGCCTGAGCCAAGAGCAAGGCCCCATCTCTACTAAAAATAGAATTAAATTATCTGACTAAATACTAGTAGAAAAAAATTAGCCATGGGCAGTGGTGCAATGCCTGTCAGTCCAGCTCTCGGGGAGGTGAGGCGGAGGATCGCTTGAGCCAGGAGTTGGAGGTTGTGTGAGCTAGGCTGACGCCACGACTCTAGCTGGGCAAGAAGTGAGACTCTGTCTCAAAAACAAAGAAAATACCTTGATTGTGACCAATGTGCTATATTACATATTTCAATATACTTTTTGGGACAAAAGTCAGAATAATCCTTTGCTACATGTCTATGCTCTTTGATGTTTTCTATTATATTTTATATCATTATAAAGCCGTCACGCACGGAGATAAACTTCACAACCACAAATGGTCAAGACAGTCATTTTAAAGAACTGGTCTGAGTGACCAGTCAGTGGCCTAAGGGCTGTGACTGTCTCGGGTAGTTTCAAGGGCGAATGGTGTCAGCCGATGCAATCTGTAATAAATGAAGCTTGTAGTGGCCGGGCGCGGTGTGGGTCACACTGCAATCCAGCACTACTGGGAGGCCGAGGCGAAGTGGATCATTTGAGTCAGGAGTTCGAAACCAGCTGAGCAAGAGGGAGACCCGTCTTTACAAAAAATAGAAGAAATTAATGGACCAACTAAAAATATATTATAAAAAATTAGCTGGCACAGTGGCGCATGCCTTTAGTCCCAGTACCAGGAGGCTGAGCAGGGAGGATCGCTTGAGCCAGGAGGTTGAGGTTGTTGAGCGAGGGCTTGACGCCCGGCACTCTAGCCCGGGAACACAGCGAGACTTTGTCTAAAGTAAATAAAACAAGCAAGCAGGCTGGCTGTGGTGAGGACTCCCCCGTGGGAGAGAACCCAGCAGCCAGACGCCTCAGGAGCCACGCAGGCCGGAGCGTTGGTGACCTGTGCTGCTTACTTCAGATGAAAGGAAGCTTTATTCACTAAAGGTGAATGGATGGGATATGGCTGGTTATTAAAATAGGAAAAGGCCGGGCACGTGGCTCACGCCTGTAATCTAGCACTCTGGGGAGGCGAGGCGGGTGGTTGCTCGAGGTCAGGAGTTTGAAACCCAGCTGAGCAGGAGCGAGCCCGTCTCTACTACAAATAGAAAGAAATTAATTGGGCCAAACTAAATATCATATAGAAAAAACTGGGGCACGTGTCAGTAGTCCCAGTACTGGGAGGCTGAGGCAGGAGATAATGCTTGAGCAGGAGATGTGAGGTTGCTGTGAGCGAGCGTGACGCAGGCACTTACTCTAGGCCTGGGCGACATAGTGAGACTTCGTCTCAAAAAAAAAAAAAAAGGAAAATAATGACGAATATGAAAAAATGGAAATAGGGAAATAAGAAAAAATAATAAAAAAAAAAAACGATGAAAGGCGAATGGAAGTTACCCATGCTGATTTGGTTTCTTCTGTGCTTTCTTCCAGGAATTCAAAAAGCACACTAGACGGTGAGTGAGCTCACGGTGCCTGGGCTGGCTGGCTCTCTCTCTTCCCCACCCGCCTCTCACCTGATCCCACCCGCTTCCTCGCCTGTACCTTCGTGGCAAATGTCTGCCTGCCTGCCTGGCTTGTCCCACACGGGAGGTCTGGCTTCGCCTTTTTACCTCTTTCTGCCAAGAGGATCTACCGTCCTGACTGGTCCAGCCCGGTGGGAGCAGGCCGGTGTCCGGGACTTCCTCAGAGCCCCTGTGCCTGCTGCAGGTGCAGCAATGTTCCCTGCCAAGCCAACCACACAGTCTTTCTGAGATGAAGAATAAAGTCTGGAATGTTCTCCCTGAAGACCTTCGTCTTAAAAGGGCTGCTGAAGTTCAAATGTACGGCTGGCTTCTGGGCTGGCCATGCAGGCGGGGTGGGGTGGTCAGGCTCTCGTAGCTCGGGGTCCCCAGGGTGTGCCTTCAGAAGCTTCGTGAGAAAACAGGAGAGAGCTGGGTGGTCAAACGCCGGCTGGTAGGAGGCATCGTGGCAAATGGCTTCCCACGGTTCAGCCGCTTGGAGGAATACTTGGGCAGAAAGAAGTCTGAGGAGGGGAAGTTCAGCTCGGGCCAGACCTAGGAACTTGGCGTCTGGCCCTGCCTGCGCCATGCTTGGCGGTGTGTCTGACACCAACTCGCGCAGCTCCGGAGCGGCTGGACAGCAGGTCTGTTGGGCTATAAACGTGGGGAAGAGCTGGTCCTCGGCTAGACAGTCTCCCACGTCGTCCTCACACACCCTGCTTTGTTTTTCCTCCGCAGAGGATCTTCGGGGAGAGCTGGAGAAAGAGGAGAAAGGTAGGGCTCCTGCTGGTGCTACTGAGTTCGGAGTATTTTGCCTGACAAGGAGCCCGGCCCTGCCGAGACCATCTCTCGGGTTTTACACGATGTGGGTTCCTTCTGCCCACCCATCTCGGCGACTCTGCCGGTCGGCCACCCTGCCCCATTCCCCCTGGGAGTGGGCGGCTCTGCCTCCCTCAGGGGGCCCATAAGCTAGAGGTCAGTCAGGAGCAAGAGTGCCCTGTACCTTGGGACGCTCAGACTGGGGAAGGCTGGCCAGTCACCTGGATGAACCTCTTCCTGGGCCCCACTCCAGGACGGACGGAGACCTCCCCTGGGGATCTCTGTAAGGCCCAGGGAAGCAAGGGGGGGCCGGAGCCAGGAAGGAAGATGGTTCTGACTCCTGCAGAGCTCTGGAGGGTGTGGGACCCAACACCCAGGGGAACGGAGAGGAGGGGAGAGGAGGGACAGGCACATATTCCCGACGCCAGAGACCAGGCCAAGTCAGAGTTTACCTAAACCAACTGAGTGAGACCATGCCCCTCCTGTGCTCAGAGCCCCATGGTGGCCCCTTGGGATCTGGCCTCACTGCACACCCCTCCTCCCACCATCCCGGCTCCCCGATATGCACCCTCCTTGCTGCTCCTGGAATATGGATTGGGCATTGGCACAGATGCCGGGGGAGGGAAGGCAGGCTGGCTGCACCAGGGGGGGCCGTGCCAGGGCCCTGCATGGGGCTCCTGTCCCTCTGTCTCTGCCCGCAGTGGAGCTCACCTTGGACCCGGACACGGCCAACCCGCGCCTGGTCCTCTCGCTGGATCTGAAGAGCGTGCGCCTCGGCCAGCGGGCGCAGGACCTGCCCGGCCACCCGCGGCGCTTCGACACCAACACGCGCGTCCTGGCGTCCTGCGGCTTCTCCTCGGGCCGGCACCACTGGGAGGTGGAAGTGGGCTCCAGGGACGGCTGGGCCTTCGGGGTGGCCCGGGAGAGCGTGCGCCGCAAGGGCCTCACGCCCTTCACCCCCGAGGAGGGCGTCTGGGCCCTGCAGCTCCACGGCGGCCAGTACTGGGCTGTGACCAGCCCCGAGCGCACGCCCCTCAGCTGTGCGCGCCTGTCGCGCGTGCGGGTGGCCCTGGACCTGGAGGTGGGCGCCGTGTCCTTCTACGCCGTGGAGGACATGCGCCACCTCTACACCTTCCGCGTCAACTTCCAGGAGCGCGTGTTCCCGCTTTTCTCCGTCTGCTCCACCGGCACCTACTTGCGCATCTGGCCTTGAGGGGCCCTCCTGGGGAGAGTCCCCCTCTCCTGTCTGCCTGTGGGGAGGGTCGTGGCCCCCTGGATGTATGCCTCGGGTCTGCCCTCCACACTCTTGCCCCAGGCTGCCTGGCACAACCCTGGAGGCGTGGCACCCAGGGACTGTGGCCGTGCATGCTTGGGGGCTGTCCCCTCCCTGTGGGCAGCATGTGGATTTGGCCAGAGCCCTGAGGAGGTGGAGGCTGGGGAGCACAGGAAGCCAGCTCTTGCTGGGGGTGCTTCCTATCCCAGGGGCTCCCTGCCCTGACTCAGGGGGGCCTCTGGTTCCCAGGAATGAGGTCAGGCAGGTCCTGAGCTGCCCTCAGGGTCGGCCAGCCAGGTTCATCATCACTTCTCCCTTGCCTTCTTTTTTTTTTTTGGAGACAGAGTCTCGCTTTGTTGCCCAGGCTAGAGTGAGTGCCGTGGCGTCAGCTCGCTCACAGCAACCTCCAACTCCTGGGCTCAAGCGATCTTCTGCCTCAGCCTCCCGAGGAGCTGGGACTACAGGCATGCGCCACATGCCCGGTATTTTTTTTCTATGCATATTAGGTGGCCAATTAATTTTCTTTCTATTTATAGAGACGGGTCTCTACTCTTGCTCAGGTGTTTTGAACTCTGACCTCGAGTGATCCACCGCCTTGGGCCTCCCAGAGTGCTGGGATTACAGGCGTGAGCCACCGTGCCCGGCCCTGCCTTGCCTTCTTGATGGCTCCCTGCTCTGCCTTGAATGGTCACTGGGCCTCTGGATCCAGCTGGCCTGAGAAAGTTGCCTGCTCGGGGCGGAGCACGGTGCTCCCGGCTCAGAGGAGAGCCTGGGCCAGCCTGGGAGGAGTCTCTCCATGCACATGTGAGGGGAAAGCCCAGGACAACACGATGGAGCATGGATTCTTACAGCATGATGGGCATGTGGCCCACTTCCAACAC